TCTCAGTTTTTTGCCTTTCTTTTCCTTCCAAACCACCAGCTGTTCCCCCCGGCTGCCCCTCTCGTAGGGTGTGAGTGGATGAGTGGAGAGTGTGGCCGGACTGCAATCAAAGAAATATTTTGAGAGTCCTTTCAGAGCTCGTTAAGGAATCTGGGCTGGCTATGAATGCATGCTTTATACAGCATTGTTTTGAAGTAGGAGTGAGTCACTAAAAAGCAATCTGCACTCTCTCCATGTTCAACTTTGACTTTACTAAGAAAAAGAGAAAGAAAACAAACACAATCCCATTCACTTCAGAAATACACATTGATCCTTTAATCCCCAGGGAAGCATCAGGAACGGCTTCCTCCTCGAAAGAACTGCTGTATTGACGCAACATTTAATTGTGCAATTACACACGCACATTTTCTCCCGTGCTTTGCATGCAGAGCAGGGCTCTGTGGCTGGAATGCTAATCAGAGTGTGGCTGATGCTATCTCACTGCACACACAGCCCCAGTGCAGCCTCCTGGCCAGCAGCAAGCCTCAGGTTTTGTTACGGCCAGAGGTACTTCCACCAAGAACTACTGCACACCTGCTCTGCAGGTGTTCACACATATATGCCCATATTAATGTGTATACATCCACATTTGTTTGGCCAGAACCTGCTTTCCGAGGTCTGCATTGGGTATAATGTCCACCAGGTTTTTCTGATGCTTCTTGTGTGACCTGTTGTGACTTCAAGGACACACAGGACTTGGTGTGAAGGTGCCATCTGTGGAAAAGGCACACGTTTGTCCTGCTGATTTTCCTCATCCTTTATTTTTGGAGCTGGAGGTACTGAAATCAGCCTGCAGTCTGAGGGATGCCCTGTGCGATAAAAAGCATAATCACAGAATCACAGAACTGTAGGGGTTGGAAGGGACCTCAAGCATCATAAAGCTTAATCCCCCTGCTTAAGTGGATATCCCCCAATAGCTGCTCTGTTTTACAGTACTTGACAGTAAATGCAAAGGTTGGTTGGGTGACAGAGGGAACAAATTCAACCATCTTTTAGCCAACTTCAAACGCTAATATTTTTGCTGGATTTAATCTCTTTACTGTGTTTTTATTATTCATGGTTTTGTCATTAATTCTGCTTTCCCACCAACGTTAGGGATGGAGTTTCCAGATGGGAAATCCTACCTGTCATCCTGTCATCAACAGCCACAGGCTACAAAGTGAGCGTTGAAATACAAGTGCTGCTTTCTTTTCAGGGCTTTGCATGGTGTCTAGGGGCACCTCCAGTTCTCCTCTCCTGGGTCACTGCCTCCGTGGAGGTGCTTTTAATGTCACACTGTTTTAACAGTTTTAGGAAAAGGGTAAAAGGTGGGGAAGGTGGGGGGGAGAGGAAAAGCTTTGGTTATTGTGGAGCATTTGGGGATGTTTCTGCCAAGGAGGTGGTGGAGTCACCATTCATGGAAGTGTTCAAGAAATGTGTAGATGTGGTATGTAGGGACATGGCTCAGTGGGCAATGTTGGTGATATGTGGGCGGTTGGACAAGATGATCGTAGTGGTCTTTTTCCAACCTTAATGATGCTCTGATTCTATGTTATGGCCTCCTGGTTTCCTGGAACCTCTGCTTGTGTTTTCGTCGTGTTTCTGAAAGCTTAAAATCAGAGCAACCTATCAACACAGCAAAAATCAGTCTTTTAATGTAACAGCATTAGCTCTGCCTGTGGCCTTCCTTGTTCCTGTTGTTCAGGAAGCTTCTGTATTTGGCAGGATGCATGCTGGCCCCGTGGCTGGTGTGTAGGGACAAGAGGGGGGAGGCAGGAAGGGGAAGGGGAGAAGTCCCATGGCAGCAGCCTTGTTTGTGTGCCTCATTTGTCTTAGTAGTGCCGCCGCTTCCTTTCCTGGTGGAAGTCCCTTTCTGATAAGCCAAACAACCAAAGAAAGGAGCTATTGCTCAGAGCTGTCATGGGATGCAGTCTGTGCCATCCTCCTGGCTATCACCACCTTCTTCCCACCCACCTGCTCAGGGTGCAGCACCACTCCCAGCAGTTCCATGGGTGCGGGTTGGGTTTTTCCCATGCACAGAGAAGCGTGCACCACGTCCCCGGGCAGCCTGTTCCAATATTCATCTTTCATTTCTATACCCCTACCTTAAAGCCTGTAAAAAGTACCTTTTGATGGTTGCCTTGCAGCTTTGATTGGGTTTTCTTTGGTCAGTGATCCCACTGGTTGGTGGCACAGCTCAGTAGTACGACACAAGTGTCATCATACTAGGTCAGGGTCTATTCCCAGATCTTCCTTTAGAGAGGCTGTGACTTGGATGGCTCAGAGGTTGCTTTCCCTGCTCTCTTGCCCTGTGCTGCTGGGACCCCCGGTAAGAGCACAGGCAGAACTTACTCTGTTCCTGATGGCAATGAGGTGCTCAAGTCTCTGTATTTAAGGCTGATTTTGACATTTTACCATTTGTATTGCATAAGGAATGGGTTCTTCTCCAGAGCTTAATAAAGGCATGGAACAGATGCTTCCAAGGGAAGCAAGTTCACGTGTTCTAACAGAAAAATCAGGAAGAAAAAAAAAAAGTAATGAATGGCCTGCTGCATCAATACTGCAGTTTTATGACTGTTGGTTTTGTTTAATCTTTCTTAAGCAAGCAAACAAACGAGAGAGGTGGTTTCCAGGACACGGGCACGTTACGTCCAGCCCCAGAGTTTGTCTCTGCCATGTGAGACAAGCTGTGTGAATCTCCCCCCTTTACCACCAGGAAGTGCTAATAATGCTAGTAGGTGGGCACTTACAGAATGCTGTGGTTCTGAAAAGGGATCTTCAGATTGTTTTGAATGCTTCAGACTTTCTGGGAAATGTGGTTTTGAGTTCAATGTTTTGCTGGATTTCCCTGAATTCAGAGGCTGAGTGTATGGAATTCCATGAATCTACAAAGACAAGCCCAGGTTTTTCCAAATGTGCAACGTTTTGAGGTTCTCCCCTCCCTTTCCTAACAATGAATTATTGGTCCTTTGCTTTCAGTGAAGTACATTAATTACTTACTGGTTTTATCAGGTGTTCCTTCGCTCTTTGCTGGCCCTTACTGTGGTTCTTCTTGGACCTGAAGAGTAAAATGTGTTTGTGTTGGCATGTGGGAAACAGGGGAAACCTCAGGAGAAAATAGGACTGGAAAGGAAATGTTTTTTCTGCCCAATGAAAATTTTTGTGATGCATTTTTTCCACATCAGAATGAAACTTGAAATATGGAAGAAAGAAAAAGGAATCCAGCTGGAGCAGTTACTTCTCTTGGTTCTTTTTATTTTTTTTTCTCTCATGTTAGCAAAGTTTGTTTATGTTGCAATGCAAACTACAAATTCCAGATTCCTTGGATACCTGGATAACTTGGGTCAAAAAGTTGATTTCAGTGGATTGGGAACTGTTCAGTACATAATTTTAAATCAGAAAAGGACAATCTGCTGCATTAAAATTGAAAAATAATGACCCAGTAAATTACTAATTTTGTGGTCCAGGGTAATTAGTGGAACAGCTTGGCAGGTAGAATGCAGCAGGTCTAAATTACTGCTCTAAGTCCATTAGCAGGAAGATATTATCTAGCTTTGTTGCTACTAAAAGGAATACGTGTATATATATATATGTGTGTATATATATATATATATATATGTTTGCCCTTTGATGCTTTTCTTGGTTGTTTGCATCTCAATCCTTGGTTGTCTCCATAATGCTCCAGAAATTATTCATGCTGCACTTTTCCTAGCGCAGGGGAAACTTGAGGCTTTTACAATTAGTGCTGCTGGTTATTCCATGGAAAACATACACCATGGTCTGACAAGGAAAGCAGCGGTAAAAAGCCAGGTGATGGCTGATGTCTGCCAGCAGGTGCATGGAAAGCATTGGTTCACATCTTGCAGCTTGTGTCCCATTTGATGAGGAGATGGCACGTTCACCTCCAAGTGAATGGAGACGTCTCCCCATCCATACATTGCTTTGCTAAGGGCCAAAGTGCAATGGTCACATCGTCTTGTCCCCTTTGTGACATTGGCCTATTTCAGCTGGGAATTCCACTGAAAATCTGTACCCTGCAAGTCTTTAAGCATACATTTTACAAAAAAAATCCCCTTTGACTTTCAGGATCAACATGATAGGAAGTACTTCTAATGAGCAGGTTTGCTTAGTGGGTAGTTGCTCTTGCTGTTAAACACAAATGATAGTTTTTCTTCACTTTTCAACTTGAGTTTCCTGAGATTCAGTCTTCCAGCCCTAGACTTTATTCCAGCTCTGTTTGCTGGAGTTAAAATCTTCCCACGAGTCCTTAAAGACCAGGAGGAGTCACTTCCTAATCTTCTCTTTTAAGAGGATGGTGATAATTGAGGACTTCTTATTGACTCTGTTGACCTTTGCCTACTGTGTGTTTGGGTTTTATTAGATAACTTGCAATTGTTCTTTTTCATCATTATAACACTACTGTTAATAATTGTTAACTGGATCTACATCTAAGGATGTGGCCCATATTGGTCAAAGAGTGAAAGTTTGAGCCTCTGATGGACATGGTTGATATGGTTTGGGGCACCTTCAGAGAAAAGAAAATGCATCAATCCCTGTGCTATTTACTCGCCTCCTCAGAAAGTTTTGTAAATCATGTTTAATATTTTTAGTGATTTCTTTTCAAGTGGTGATGTATCTCTGCTGTTTTCAGGTCTGGTTGTATGCTGAGCTCTATTCCACCATCTGTGATGATCCTGAGCACTTCCTTCACTCCTGAACTTCACTTGATTTCACTGAGAAGTTGCAAGCAGTGAGATAATACTGAATGAATCAATGAAATTGGGATTAGATGGATAATTAGATGGATCCTCACAAGAAGTTGCTCTGCACGTGATATCTTTTATAGCCTTACATATTGCAGCTTCAAGGGAGTTGTTCCTCATCTAACACAGCCAATTGCTTTAGCCTTTGCAGGATGGAGGAGCATCTGTCTTCTGTTTATAATGACTACTTTCTTACCGATATTTTTTTTCTTTTTGCAGCATTTTTGTTCCCATGTATTTTGGGCTGGTGGGAAGTCTCATAAATACCATGATATCAATAGTTTGGATCCCCTCTCCAGCTAAGCCGAAGTCAGAACATCATAAGACAGAACAGAGTAAGTATTTAGTTATTTTATTAAATAGCACATGAATAGTGCTGGCAGCACTCTGATAAAGGGTTTGGGATTGTGTTTATGGACAGAAAGGTGCCCCTCTTTGCTCACCTCATCCTCTTCATGCTTGTGAGAAAGTACTTCCCAGGAGATGAGTTTGTGTCAGATGAGAAGGATTTAGGAATGCTGAGGATGCAGTCATCTAATTCATTTTGCATATGGACTGTCCACAGTTTCAACTCAGTTTTCTGAGCCTGCCAAATTCAGTCTCACAGTAGAATTAACTCTCGTGCTGTTATTTACACACTCATACCATTCCTATTAGGATTTGCCCTTCTGAGTTCCCAGAAAGCATCACATGGAGAGCCACTGCCTACTATGTAGAACACTGTTATTACAAGCTACAAGTACTCACCACGATGGGGTGAGTTTCTTGTTCCCTACCTCTAACCTATTCATATATAACATTATTCAATATGTTATCTTCTGTAGGTAGTGTATTCAACATCAGAGAAATCCTACGCGTGATGAAGTTTCCAGGAGTAATGGAAATCTTCTTAGTCAAGGTCATTTCTGGATTTCCCATAGGTAAATCTCACCCTTTACCATGGTTGCTGATGTATTTATAATAAGAAGACATACACTGGGGACTGGGCTGGTCTGTAGTTCCTGAAACCTGTGTGTAATCATGGAGAAGCAGGGATTTGGCTTGTACCTCAACACTTGTACTTCCAGATGCTCTCAGCTACACAGAGTCAAAAATCTGGGATTAATGTAAAACAGACCACTAGTCACACAAGCTGCTTTTGTGACTTTTGGCATATCACTTAATTGCTCTGCCTAGTCCCATGGCTGTAAAAGCATAGTTCTCTGTCATTTCTGTTCAGGCTGGAACCTCTTCAGAGCAGAGGCAAGTTGTCTGTACCCTGTCAAAAACACTGATGTCCCTCTTGATTTTAGTTAATGATTTTAAGGGGAGGGAAGGATGCATAGCCTAACTTTTTCCCAACAATTTAAAGCTATAGCTGGACAAGATGGGTTGTTAATTGCTGCTGTGCACAAGGGAGCCACTTGCTTTTATTTCTTCCTTTGCTTGATGGTGGTAGTGCTTGTTCTTCTCTGTGAATATTCTTCTGATTTTTCTCATGTCGTGGTCATAATGTACTGCTTCAAACATACCCCAAACCCACCTGTCCCCTGCCCCTGTTGAATCATTCACAGTCTTGACATGTTCCATTGTGTAGCACAGACCCAGTGTTCCATTAGGTAGGTGGGATGGTTGCCCTAGATGATCATAGAGGTCTTTTCCAACCTTAATGATTCTAAGATTCTGTGATTAAGTTGTGGTTCGTAAATTGTAAATTCAATTTACAAATGAAGGTAGATTTGGCTAAAGAGAGTGGCTGAATGAGATGGGGATGTCATTTCTGGCCATGACCAGGTTCTTCTAACATCTTGCCAAGACTGACTGGAGTGTAGAATAATATGAAAGGAAGAAAAGTGTTTCTGATTTTTTTCTTTTGTTTTAGTGCATACTTGGCATTGGCTGAGATCAATGATGCCAGCTGGTCCTGCTCCTACCCCTAGAGAGAGGACAAGCACCTCTATGGACGGGTTGCTTGCCAGAAGCGTGCATCTCTTAGATTCTTATGGAACTAACCTTTAAAACTGTGTTTTAAATGTTTATAAAATGGCAGCATTTCATAGAACGAGATAGCCAAGTGATGTTTTAGCAGGGTTTTCTTTTCCAGTTCTGGCTCATTTCTCAGCTTAAAGCAGCATTCTCTTCCCTGCTTAAAAACACCATACTGAGACCACATCCATTTGTAATCTGCACTGTAATTTCCTGTGCACTGTCCTTTTTCCAACAGATGGGTGAGATGCACTCTGGTTTAGTCATCGCTGCTGAAATGCAGATGCCTCTTTGTTGCAGAAGACATTCTTCTTTTCCCATGCACAGCAAAAATGAACACCAGACCAAAATAAACATCTCCTGCCCTAACTGCAAGGGAACTTGTAGGCAAACAGGATGGAATATGAGGCTGATTCAGGGCAGAACATGGGCTACTTGTTACTGAAATGGGTGGGAATAACTCATGAGGAGCAGGAATGGGTTTACTGGAGGCATTCCTGCTACAAGCAGAGCAGAATGGCTAGGAGCAATTACAGTCCCAGGCACTTCTGTTCACAGGTCTTCTCTTTGGGTCACTGACCCATAGGATTGCAGCCAAAAGGGGATTTGGACATCCCTTCCTCCTTTGCAACTTATGGCTGGAGGCTGAGCTCCTACTGGTCTCATTCACCTTTCATCTCCCTTCTGCAACTGTGTAATTAATTAGACCAGCCAAATTACAGACTTTACTTTATTTACTTTGTAAACAAGTGCGTGATATACACAGAGGAGAATCTCCTGTTCCATACAGATCTCATCATTGTCCAAAATGAATATGTTTGAGACAGAAAGAGCCTTCCCAAGAGGGCTGCTGGTATGGGAACCTCCTCCCTGGTTTGCATCAAAACACAGATGGCTCCATGCTCCTCCTGGAAGCAGATCTGCCAAGGAATGGAGGGGCAGTTGGTCTCTCCAGCATGGCTGGTTTGCCTGCTCAACAAAGCGAGTGTCATGGCCTTGCAGTAGATAGTAGACTGAAAGTCAAACATGAGGGCAGAAATGTCAAACAGCACTTGGTGCTTGGAAATCACTAGGGCTTTGAAAATACTGATAATAGCTGCTTGTAGGAATCTATGGGTTTGGACAAACATGCTCCCTTCTCACAGTGGCTGCCTCTGCAGACCACCCTCACCCTGCTACTGAAACTTTGCCATATACAGCCTCCCAAAGTCATGCTTGCTGTCTCTTTGGTGCTCTTCCTCCCTTTTACTGCATCTTACAAAACATTTTCCTGCCTCATGCTGCATGTCTGTTATTATTTACTGCTCAGTGCAAGGTTTTGTGAAGGATTTACTCCTGGTGCAGGCATCCCCAGGAAGTGAAGTTCTGAGATCCTCTGAGTCACTGAAAGAAGAAGGGACAAGGAGGGTCTGCTTTGCCCAGGCAGTTGTATGGGCATAGGGTAGCTGCCATCTTAGGGATGTTTGTGTCTCTGAGGTAGCCATGCAACAGAAACATAGAATCATTAAGGATGGAAAAGACCACTAAGAAAGATCATTTTTCTTCATCATCCATCAACCCGTCATCACCGTACCACTAAACCATGTCCCTCAGTGCAATGTGCAACGCCGTTGAAGGAGCACAGCTACCTCCCTGCACAGAAAGAAATGAGCTCCTTTGGAGCACAAAGATCAAAACCTAAGCTGGGTGAAGGACTTCAAAAGAGCTTAGCTGCAAGAGCTGGTGCATGGCACTGGGAAGAGACAGCAATGTGGGAAGGCTGAGTCCTGCCGGGTGGTAGCGCAGTGAGGCTGCTGGGTGAAAGGAGATGCATCCTGATCTGATCTCCCTGTGAGTAAAGCCAAGTGTGGTTTTTCTTTCATTTCTTCACGTGTGTCTTTTATAAACATCTGCAGCTCTGTTGTCTGTTTTGGATGTGAGGAGAAAATGCTGCTGTTTGCATGTTACGCTAACCTGGCTTGAGCTAGGAGGCGTTTCAAAGCAACAGGATAACAGTGGGTGCTCCCCGCAGAGTGCTGTGACTGAGCCAAAAATCTTCACAAGCATCAGGCATACCAGCACCTTCCTCAGACCAATGGGAAGCAGCAGGGTGAGGTGCTTTTCATTTTGCCCAGCACCAGCTGGGGTGAGGAAAGAAGCCCCAGAAACCTGCTGGGTGTGGGACAGTTGGGCCAATCAGTTTGGGTGCGCATCTTTCCATCCAAAGGCAGATTTTGGGCAGGTCAGGTGAGGACACTGCAGAACTGACCATTTCCCTCATCATCTCACCCATCCCTGAAGCCTTCAGCGTGAGTTTTATCTTTTGTAGAATTTCACTGAAATGGTGCATTTCCTGTCCAAATGGGGCATATAAGGAAAACGGATTGCATTTTCTGCCCGCAATGGGTGGATGTGGTTGTGCTTGGGGTGAATGAAACACAGTGTACTCAGCAATTGAGGATGGCTCTCCCCATACTTCCAGGAAATGAGGGTGAGAGCCTTCCTGTGCTGCGGGCTAGTGACTCACCTAGCCAGGCCACAGGCTGCTCTCAGTCCTCGCTCCTTTCCTCCTGTGCTATTCTGTCATTAAGGAGAGGACTGCAGCTCCCAGCTCACCAGGTCTGTGCACCTCAAAGAGCCCTACAAAGCAGGGCAGAAGCAGACCCCTGCAGGTCATCAGCTCTTTCCTCCTCTCCCAGCAGCATCAGACTGTCAGCACTGGGGATGCTGACGCACACAGTCCAATTTCCTGCTGTCTGTCCACCTGAAGTGTGTTGGCAGAGGCAGCAGGCGCATACCGCAAACCCATTCTTCAGTGAGCAATGTTTTGTCCCAGCAGTGGGCGCGGTGGGGATGGGTAGATGGTTGGACGAGGTGATCTTAGTGGTCTTTGCCAATCCTTCTGAATGTTTTTGATTTGGTGGCTCGTTGTGTATAAAGGAGTGCACATGCACATCTCTGTGTTTGTATATTAGGTGCCGTGGGAAATGCACACAATTGCATTTTTAGGTAAGACTGAGTGGGCATTTTCCACAGTGCCCTCCAGAAACTGCCTTAATTGACGAGCACACCTTGTGCCTGCTGTTCCTGTCCGTACTTCCCCAGTTGTTTCTGTTGACACCACTCACAAACCATGGGAGAGTTTTCACATAGGGCTGAAATTGCTGCTGGGGTGTGCAGTGAAACCTTTCTGTTTAGTCTGATGTCACCGGGTTGTTTCCCAGGCAGCGTTCCCAATGGTGGAAAGCTAAAGTTAGGCAAAAGGGAGGAGGAAGCCAATCAGATTATTCTATGGTTACGGTCTTGTCTGAACAAATGTTTTCTTGCTGCCTTAATACTTAGTCTGCCGTGGGTGATAAAAATATTTACTAGTTTATTATAAACAGCTGAACCTACAGCCTACATAGTCACATTATTTCAAGATGAAAGTAAAGGGGATAAAAAAGTGAACATTTAAAGACTAAATGGGTGTACTGGCTTCGAGTAGAATTCTGCTCCTATTTATATCCAGTCCCTATAAACCCAGGGAGAGCTCCTGACTCACGCTGGGAGCAGAGATTGGGCCAGTGCAGCACTGAGGGCATACTGAAGTGTACTTCTCATTAACCCTCCCTCTAGGTTTGTTCCTGATTATGTTTTCTATCATCTCGATCGAGTTCTTTGGATTGGAAGCAGTGGAGTCTGGATACCTGATGTCATATTTTGGTATCCTTCAGATGGTAAGTGAAGTGCCATACTGCTGTCTGATGCGCACCTTGCCACGTTTTTTACACATATTCTCCCAAATCCAGGCATAATATTGACACGCAGATCATAAATACACTCATAGCTATGATATGTGTAATTCATTTTCAAAAACTTAAAGTGCCTCCAAATTTATTCTGTTCCTTGGAATGGAAAGCAAGTAAAGTGAGCAGCATCTTGGAGACCTTCTCCCCTTGTCACTTCTTGTGGATCTTTAAGCTTTGGAGCTAAGAGTTCCAATGACTAGCATGTCATCCTCATTCCTGCAGCGAAACTTACACTGAAGCTAACAGGCCTCAATTACGAGGTTTTCAGTTCTGTAGGTTAGCTCGTTTACATTTGCTTAGTAGCACCTGTGAATTTGTGTAGGTAGATGCATTTTTGCAGATGCCCTCAGTGTAGAGGAAGGACTCGTTCCTTCTGTGGGGAACTGTGGGGAAACTAGTGCAGCAAGCTTGTACTTTAAAAAAAAAAAAAAAAAAAAAGGAAGAAGAAGATGATGGGCCATGGAACACAGTTAGGAGATTGGCAAAATGGACAAGAGTGAAAAATTAGCTGAATTATGTCATAGCATAGCCAAAAATAATGGTGATAGTGCAGCCTGAAATAATGGTGCTGTGTTATTTGGAGAAAGATGCTAATAATTCTGCAGGAAGAGCAACAGATGGTTATAAGCCAGCCGGAAGGCAGAAATGCAAGGCAAGCAATATCCTGTAGGAGGGTGGTCTTGTTAGAATGCCTTCCTTTCCTGGGCAGTGCCGCAGAGTTCCTGTGTGATTCAGAGGATCTCCCCATCTGTGAAATAGCAATTTTAGTCCCTTGTGATCTGGATCTGGCATTGTGTTGGCCTCACACCCTAGTAGAGCAGTCAACAGGCATGATTGTGCATCCATGAGTGGGGTCAAACCTCTGGATCTGAGCAACATTCTCTGTGCTGCTCTGGGAGGGGGATGTTTGGTGGTCTCTGCCTCAGTCCCATGTGCTTCACACTTGCTGTCATTTGCATTGGGAAGGAAACCAGCTTTGCTGCTGCAAGTGGGGTGATCAGCAGCTGCTTCCCATAGCACACACCTGGCCCAAATGTGAGGTCTCATGGAGGCCCTGCTCTACATTAGTCTTCATGTGCCACCTCCTGGACCAGGGTCTCTAGGATGCATTCAAGCCTTAGAGTCCTCTAAAGTCCTTTTCCCCCTCTGACTGTAAACAGCACTTTAAGAACTCATCATCATGTATAGATACATCAGTTGAATCTGATGGTTGGAATAGATGATCTTAAAGGTCTTTTCCAACCTTAGTGATTCTCTGATCCCTACAGTACATGTCTGCGTGGAAATCACATTGGGGATTTCTGCATGGTTATGTTGTTGTTGTTTCAAGCTGGGTATCACAGGTGATTATAGCAACAAAGGTGAAATGATCCTTGTGCAACCTGGAAGGGACAGCTTTGTGTTGATCGATAGAGCCAGAATGGTGCCACTGGGTCTGGGATTTCTGTCTGTCTTCGTGCTGTTGTTTCCCAGCTTTGTTTGGTTGAAACTGCTGTAGATAAGGTTACCTGGTGTGCTGCACTAATGTGCCCTACAAATGGACACAGTCCTGGAAGGCTGCCTTCACTTTTCTCCCTAACAAGTAATCAGATGTCAGTGCAAGCCAGGGACTTGGCCCTTCCCATAGTTCTAGGAGCTGGGTTTCATCTCATAGTGCCAACCATACCCATAGCCACGCTGTGATCCAGCAGTGCCTCCAGACTCAGGTGCAGTATCTGCTTTACTGGGGAGGCTTTGCCCGAGGTGTTTGGCACAGAAATTGGCTGCTGTCAGCCAGGCAGCTCGCTTTCATCTTGCCATGCAGTTTCTGTCCATTCTGTTCAACAGCATGTGGCTCTGCACTTCAGAAATGCAGGAGTGAAGCAGTTGTAAGATACAAAGAAAATACACTTTTTCATGGTGCTGCTTTGAGGTTTGTATTCCAGGCATAGATTTGTGTCCCAACTTTCTGATCAGGGCTCTGATTGGAACAGCCTGTCTCACAGACAGTGGCTGAGCTGATGTTTTAGGGGTCTTTCTGCTATGACCACACTGGTGGAAGATGCATGCAGGAGGCATACTGCAGTGGCTCTGTCCCACCCCAGGGCTGCAGCCTCCATTGCTCCTCAGTTGGCCCTTCAGGTGTGTTTGTCTCTGTTGTGCAGCACATTGATACTGCAGGAGATAAAAATGCAGATTAGGGTGCAAGCAAATTCCACCCGACGAGGTGGGTGAATGCGATTAGTATCTGCTGACTGGCTTCCCCACTTTGCTTGCTAAATTATAGCTTTATTCATAACAAATATAATGTTCTTTTCAATGCATTTCGTCAAGCAGATCCTCAGCTTTGATTTCTCATTCCTTAGTTTGCCTTTCTATAGAATATTGCAGGGGGTTTTCTCCAGATTGCTCTGAGCCCCTTCTCATTGCCCCCCCCCCTCCTGCAGCTGGAAATGGGCCACATCTGAGGGCCTTTGAAGATAGGTGTGGCTGTTGGAGAAGTGAAAAGGGGAAATAAAGAGTGAGCTGCATCCTGTTTACACCAAACATCCCTGTGAACATTGAACACAGCATCCAGATCTGGTCTGCAGGGCAGGAGGGCATAGCCACAGCCTCCTGCTCTCAGCACATGCTGCCAAGGGGCTCAAGGGCTGCACAGGTTTCATAGAATCATAGTATAATTAAGGTTGGGAAGACCACTGAGACCACCCAGTCCAATCCCAACCCATTCCCACCATGCCCATTGAGCCATGTCCCTAAGGGTCACATCTCCACATATTTTGAACACCTCCAGGGACAGTGATTCCTGCTTTCCTCTCCTGCCCTGGGGATGTTACGCTCCAATTGCTTAACCTAATTTGAGACTTCTCAGCCTCATTTAACCTACTGTGGCGAGAGGCAGCCAACGCATCGCCAGCATCTGAGTTTCTCACCCTTCAAGCCAGCTGCAGAGCACCTAGAGAGCAGATTTGGAATCTCTCTGAGTCAACCTGTCTACCTTCACATAGGCAACCCAAGAACTTTTCCATGGGTATCCCAAGCTCCTTATTGTGTAGGGTGATCAGTGCAGAAGCAGTGGCCCCTCGGAAGGTGAGGGCTTTGTCCGTTGTGCAGATGGAGGGCATCCCACTTCCAAGAGGTGGTCTGGGGGACCTGAGTGGCCCAATCTATTTAATGATTACCTGGGAGAAACCATCAGCTGCACCTATTTGCAGTTAGGCAAAGAGCATCTTCTGGTAGCAGAGGATACGGGGCAGGCTGGGAGCACGGTGAGGATGGGAAAGGGCAGGTTGGAGAAGCAGAAAGCAGAGAAGAGAGGGTGAATCACACTCTGCACCCCAACAGCATGTAGCTGACTGTGGGCAGGAGGGGATTTCTGATGGGAAATAATGAAATGAGGATGGAAGGTAGGGAGTAGGAGGAGTGCAGTGCCTTGCTCTGCAGAAATCCCCTTTGCTTGTGTTATGTTTGAAGCAGTTTTGTCTGCTTCTGAAAGAGTCTGTGGGAACCAGAGGGTCTCCTCTGAGAGGTTTGGGAGCCCATCAGGGATGTAGTGCCTTTTGTCCTCCAGAGCTGTGATCCCAGGGCCTGTGTGGACAAAATTTTCCTCTTCTTGAGTGCCTAGGAGGAGTGTGGGATATCATTCATTTTTCCTCCACAGAGAACGATTAATTTCATAATTACGTAACATTTAAAATAACTACATAATAGCCAGAAGCAGACGTAGGCTCCATCTTTTCTTGAAGTTGGGAATGCAATGGCATGGAGGACTTCCAGATGTAGTACTTGTGTTTGGGAAAAGCTGCCAGAGGATTAAGCAAGGGGAATACCTACAGTCCCTAGTTAGAATCTGAAGTCACATCTGATGCTCAGATTTCCAGGCATGGACAGGAGGAACTTTCCTTTAAGGGTTTTTTTTTCTGTGAAGCACACAAAACAAAAACTGAAGGTGGGACAAAGGGGTAGGTATTTATTACCCTGAGGACCGAGAAATCATAAGACATCTGTTCTATTTACTGTGCTTAATAGGCATTGTTGTACAAACCCCACCTCCAGCCATGCAGCTTCTGGAGGGACAAGTTTGTACCGAGCGATTCTGGAAAGATGAGAGAGATTCCTGGAGGAGAGATTTACATTGCCTATCATCTTATCACCAGCCTGTCCCTCTTGCTTTTTTATTTCTCTCTGCAGCAAGAGGGATGATTAAAGAGCTAGGGATTTAATTACAGCCAGATTCGCCTGGGGGGAAAACCCACTCGGTGAAAGGACCTTGCAACAACAAACAGAAAGTTCTCCAGTTTCCTTGCTTTGAAGGATTTAGATGTGTGCAGGGGGTGGAGGTGGGGAGAAGGCAGGCGATTAGGCTGCAGTTTGCAAAACACACGCTGCCTCTGCCCTGTGAGGCCAAGTGCTGGCTCAGCAGTTCGGCCCTCCCCATCCTTGCAGCCCAAACACTCTTTGTTCGTGTAAGGAATGAATGACTTCTCATGTTCTTTCTGGCATTGTAGTCTCCATAAAATAACTTCCTCCTCCTTCCACCCAGATCAGCGCATGGTTTTGTAACACTTTCAGCCCAGCAGGACCGGTCCCCACTATTTAGTGCCCACTCAGGTCTTCCCCAACCTGTACCCAGCTGTAGTTCTGCCATCCAGCACTGCTGTGGCCCTGGGAACTTCTAGGCTGGAAATAGAGGTCTTGTTGCTGGACTCTGCTCTGTGCTTTTCTCACTGAGCACTTCTGAAAGAGTCTGTGGGAACAGGCTCCTGTCCCTTGGCCACAGGTGAATGTGGAAGACCAGCCAGACATCTGCTGGGCTTGGCAGGATGAAGGGAAACGGTTTCAAACTAAAAGAGGAAAGATTTAGACTGGATGTAGGGAAGAAGTTTTTAACAATGAGGGCAGTGAGACTCTGGCAACCATTGGTTGCCCAGAGAAGCAGGTGGATGCCCCATCTCTGGGGACATGCAAGCTCAGGCTGGAGAGGGCTCTGAGCCCCTGATCGAGTGTAGGTGTCCCTGTTAATTGCAGAGGAGTTTGACTAGATAGTCTTTATGGGTCCCTCTCTATTCAAACGATTTAATGATTCTATGGACTTAAATTTTTTCTACGTAACTACCTGGGGATGAATGCTGGTCTCATGCAGGAAGGAAACTGCTCTGCTGAAAGGCCTGCCAAAAACTGACACCTCAAATTTTCAAACGGCAAAAGCATTCTCCACTCTGTAAGGGACTGAGGAGAGTTGTTGCTGATATCAGCAAGTTGACTCTCCCAGGTGAAGAGGAGCTCTATTGGATGCGGTGATAGCAGAGGTAGTTTTCTACATGAGCATCTGACCTAGACTAGTGGAAATAATCACCAGGGCTAAGACAGCAGAAAGGCAAGGAGATTTGGCTGTTCTGCATTCATCAGGAGACTTATTTGCCTTGACAGAAGGAGAAGGGGAAAAAATGCGTTGGTTTTTCCTGCGACATGTGTACACAGCCATGGGCAGTGCCTGTTATTTCACTTGCAAACAATTTCCTCTCCTTTTTGTTTATTGATGACAGAACACATTCCAGCCAGGTACACCATCTCTGCCCGGTACTTCAAAGGAGGTCAGGTTACAAAGCAAGCACCATCCCTGCGATTAACTGCAGGAGGGACAGCCTGTGGGAGCCCAAGTGGAGGCTACAAGCAAGGAAAAAACCCAGAACTCCCTCCAGCATCCCCACTTTTCTAGGTTTTTCTTCCTCTTCATCTTTATCTACAGGTTTAGGGAGCTTATTTGGTTGGACTAGGTGATTTTAGTGATCTTTTCCAACCCTGATTCCATGATTCTGTAATTCTATACATGGCTCAGGAAAGATCTCTGCTGGAGGTGATGGGTTTTCAGATTTCATTTCTGGCTGGAACCAGAACTGGCCCAGCAACCAGAACTATTATCCAGCACCTAAATTCAGATGCTGGTAAGCAGAGTCCAAACTCAGTGTGATGGGTCTTTGTGGCTTATGGATACATTGGCAGTATAACCACACTGGGAATGGACAGCAAAAGCTGAGGGGGCCCAGTAAGCGTTGGGGAGGCTGGGGTCCATATTGCCCAAAGATGGCTGTGTGGCCTGGATCAGAAAGCAAGTGATGTGGGCTGATGCATGCCGCTCCCATGGTGATCCGAATAGGCTTCCCCTGATCATATACTCCATGACTCAAGGACGGGCAGGGCCCAGGCTGCACCTCATGGTGAATCCCAGTTAAACGTACCGTTCAAGCCCAGGCAAATTGAGAAACCTTCCCTCTGGAGGTGCAGCAGAGCCAAGCCATGTTTGGGTGATGCCACCACCAAGCAGAGTCACGCTGAGGGCGGGCTGTGCCCCATCTTGTGACTTGGCGTAGCCTGGGCAGGAGGGACTGAGAGGCTGCAAGATCTTAATGATGCCGCTTCGTTTGGGAGTTCTCAGCTTAATGAAGCGTGACTCAGCACCTCCTCCACCCATCTGAATTGAGTAGGAGCCACCAGGGCTGGCCTCCTCTTCCTCCCACCTGGCCCATGTCCATGGCAGGGCATGCATCCCACATGACTCAGGTCACCCCATCCATGTCCCAGCCTCACAATGCACGGTCCCAAGGATACCAGGTGGGTGGCACAGCCTGGGAAAGCCATGTGGGCCTCGTGCCACTGTCACACACATGAGCTGAGCTCCTCAGCCCTGCCCAAGGGTGGGACAGGGAACAGCAGGAAAAGCATGTTCTGGGAACCCAAATTTCTGCATGGCAGATGTGTCCCCATGTCAAAATTTGCTTGTGTTCTGAGGGAAAACAAAGGGGTTCATTGTGAGATTTTTCATTAAGTTGTAGCTTGTGGGAGAAATATTCAAATGGAACCTATTGCTCTTTAAGTCAACATTATTATATTTTCACCCTTTTTATTTGCTTTTTACTACTTGTTCTTGTTTTAGTATTTATACTGTGTTTTTTTTATACTGTGTTTTTTTTTCTTCCAGACAGTTTGCCATAGATTAACATTTCTTTTTAATAACTTCCTTCCTTATTTATTTTGCACCAGTTTCCCTTTGGTGGATTTTGGGTTCCTCCCTTAGGATTAACACAGTAAGGCTGAGTGTAGCATAGTAGTGGCCCGAGTCAAATCCAAGCACCAAGATTTTCTTTAGGCTGCTCTCCAAAGCTATGTAAAAGACAAATGCTCCCTGGGATTTACATTTCTGCTCCTCCTTTCCACCCCCTCTTCCCTGGTTTTTGCTTAAAATCTGCAAAACCAGTTCCCCATCTCCTGTGCCTGCTTGTACTGCTGTGTCTGGATATTAGCATCTCTGTCATTCTTGTTTCCTGTATAAAAACGATGAACTGCTCAATTTGTGTAGTGATAGTGTAAAATAATGGCAAGAGAAGGTACAGGAGAGGAGGTGTTCTCTGCATACAGTTGCGCAGTTTTGCTTTGGAAGATCTCAACAAGTGATTTCACAAGGAAAGTCTCAAGTTAAAAAATTCAGTTTTATCAACAGGTGCCTTTAAGTAGTTTCACTCAACACTGTTGATTGAGCAGTGACGAAAAGCTCGTGCAAGCATCACTCAATAGAGAGATCATCATCTGACTTATCACTAAGATAAAATGCTCAAAATCATGGTAAATGTCTTCAAGTTATTAACTGCAACAGCAAAGTCCCTTTTTCTCTTCCCAGGAAAGCAAGGAAATAACACATTTTCTCTCTTTTATTTGCTCTCTGAGCTTGTTTCCATCAGTATAAGCTGGACTGACACTGCCCATGCACTTCTTCCTCAGGTTGTCCAAGGCCTGGTGATTGAAAAGCTCACAAGCCGTTGCACAGAGCAGACCCTGCTCAGGCTTAGCATCCTCGTCTTTGCCGGCGTGGGGCTGGGCATGGTAAGATTTGCTGAGAAGTCATCCGTGGGGCCTTCCTCCATCGTGGTTTGCAGGTGTGCAAAAAGCCTACTTGTCATTGGCAGTGCCACCGCGGCCTTGCCAAACTGTGGGGGGGAGCCGGCCGACGTGGGCCTCTGCAAACACACAGCGTTCGACAACGATAAGGAGCTGTGTGAGTAATAGCTGCACGGATTACAGAGTAATAATCCCGCACAGAAACCCATGCATCCGTCCTGAGTCACTGGATTTGCACAGAGGTCCTGCCTTCCTCGAGTGGCCCCATTTCCTGAACTGCCCAGAAAGTAAATGCAGATTATGGGGAGGAAAACCACTGCTGTTGTACTATACCCTGAGACAGCTGATGAGGATGTTGTCTCATCTTTCTGGCTTTGTTTTACTAATTCCCCCAAGCTTAGAGCATTTGGGGAAGGAGGTAGCAAGGAAATAGCTTAGCTCTTCTGTTTTGGTGTTATCCATCACTGGTTGTGTCTGGATGGGTGAGAAGCAGCCTCAGAAGTCAATTGGGAAATCCCGTTGATTGTGCTGCCCAAGGGATGGGATGATCTGGGGAGAGTAATTCCCATTTTTCACCACAGAGCCAGTGGTAGAGGGACACGTGAAGCCAATGTGGCTGTGTAGAAAGGGGAAAGCGGGGAAGGGAAGTTGTTGGTTTGAGAGCTGACAATTACACCATGCCTGGAGAGCTGTGGACATCCTGACAGCATGGCCTGGGGACAGGGGTCAGCAATGACATCCCATGAGAGCTATTCATAGGCAGATGCAGCTGCTGGCTCCGCTGAGCAAAGAGTCCTTATAAAGGATGTGACGGAAGTCCTTTGCTTTGTCCCAAGGCATGGTTATGCCCCGTCCTCCCTCCTGCCCTCTGGTTCCCAGGCACTGGCTTTTGAGCCCAGCTGCTGAAACTGCAGGGTCTGCCTTTCCTGCCTTGACAATTCTCCCACATCTGCCCTGGTGGAGAAGGCTGATTTCTGCTCAGCTGAGGGTGGTGGCCAATAGTACACTTCACCTGATCCAATCCTCCCAGGGCAGCAAGAAGATATTTCCCAAGACATTCAGCCCTGGGTCTGCTCTTTCTGGCAATTTCCTTCAGCCTCCAACCTGTGAGGACACTCTTACAAGGGGATCATCACTGTCTTTTTTTCCTACCACTGCTGTGTTGTCCTGCAATGACATTTGCCCTGGTGAGGACTTACTCTCTCCCTGTCTGGATGTTTATGTACCAAATACCCGCTTCTCTGCCTTTGTTCTCCAGTTCCCTAAGCAGGAGTTCCTAGTTCTTAAGCAAAACATAGGTAAAGTGCCCCTCCAAGGAGAGAAACCTTGCCATGTACGAGTCCAGAGGGGAACTAGGAATAAACCTCACTATTTCCAAGTCATCAGTTAGCAATGGCTCTGGGCTGCTCCATCTTCTGTAGCCAAGAGGCACAGACCAGATTTTATGAACAAAAAACCCCAGAGAATGAAAATTCTGGCTTGGCCAGTGACTGAGCTGTTTTCCAGCCACAATAATACACCTTGAGACGAGGGTGAGGGCAGAGACTTGCAAGGAAGCAGGAGTTTCCTTTTCATGCCCCAGAGAAATCTATTTATTTGACCAGCAGGGCTGAGAGCTGCTCCAGCTCCGCCGCTGAGGGATCCTCACCACTTTTGTTTTAAGTATTAAACAGCTGGAGGGATGTCTTCACTAAGAATATGTGCAATAACAAAATCATTACTCTCCCTAATTATGCTCGCTAATGTGAGCCTTATGGCCGGAAGACCTATTCCAGATTACTGAATTTGATGAATTTATTAGTAAGGAAGCAGAAGAACAGGATTAGAAATCCCAAAGGTATGGTATTACATAATGCTCCAGGTTCATTTATTTTGACAAGCTTAGTTTGGTTTTAATTACTTATGATAATGAACTGAAATGCCTTCTCTAGGCTGTTTTGTATAAGTAATGGAGGCTTCCTGAAGTACACTGCATGCATCTGCTGCAGAACGTCTCCTTAGGACTTGGACAAGAGACAGAGTCCTGGGGGAGGGCGCGGGGATGTCACTAATTCCCAGACACTAAAAATACCCACGGCAGTGCTGGAGAATGTGCTGCCAGATTACAGGGCAGGGGCTGCTCCTTGTTCTGCATCCTTAGAATGATTCCCAGCACACAAATGGTGGAAAAATATTGGAAAAGAAGGGAAAAAAGAGGGGAAAAGAAATAGGCAGAAATGAGAGAATGCAAAGGAAAAACCAGGGAAAACAAGGAAATCCAGGGAAAACCATGGAAAACAATAGGAGACCATAGTGAACAGGGAAAAGCAAGGGTAAACAAGTTGATACAAGGGAAAAGAGGGGAAAACAAAGCAAAAGAGAGGAGAAAGAAGAGAAAATGGGAAAACAACAGCAAACAGGTTAAAACAGTGGAAAATAAGGGAAAACATTGGTAAACAGTGAAAATAAAGCTAATACAACAGAAAACAGAAGAAAACAGCAGAAAAGAAAGAAAAAAATGGGAAAACAATGGAATGCAAAGAAAAATCAAGGAAAACAAAGAAACACAAGAGAAAACAAGGAAAGATCATGTAATACAAGGGTAAAGAGACCCAAGGGAAAAGGGGGGGAAGCAAGGGAAGACAGTGGAAAAAAGAAAGGAAAATGGGAAAATGAGCAAACAGTTGAAAATAGTGGAAAACAGGAGAAAGTAGGGGAAAATAGGGGAGAACAATGGAAAATAGGAAACAAAGGAAAGAAAAAACATGGATAAACAGGTGAAAACAATGGTGAAGAGTTTAAAAAGAGGGAAAATAAGTGAAAACCAAAGAAAACAAGGGAAATGTGATAAAGGGGTGGGAATCAAAGAAAAGCATGGGGAAAGCACTGTAAGAAAAAGGATGGAAGACTTTGAGATGGCCAAAATGGCACCATCACAAATCATTTGTGACTCCCACAGTTTACCTAAAAGTCATAGATTTGGCTTGAGATAGTTTTCTGTATTGCTTCTTGCTACAAAGCTGCTTTCTGTGCTCTCTCATGATCCATGTTCCACTGTGTCTTGTCACTTAGGCCCTAATGAGGACCGTATGGCATTACTGCATCATCGTGGTGCCGCTGGTGTTTGCCTTCAACATGCAGGGCACCATCACGGACAGCATCCTCACCAAGGCCGTGCCTTCCTCTGACACGGGTAAGGCTCATCACAATCATCAAACTTGTCTTTTTCCCTTCTTTGGGTCCATCAGGTAGTGGTGTTTATACAGTGCTGAGTAAGCATCTTGCTCCCAGGCCACCAGGGCTTTTATTAGGCCTGGACCTTCAGCACCATTTGCCCTGCACAAGGTGAGGTCCCCAACCTGTAGGCTTTGTTCTTTGTGAGCAGTTCCCTCACAAAGCAGACACTGACTCCAGTGCCATCATCCCTATCTCAGCACCAAGCCGTCTGCTTTACCTCTCTCCCCTTTGGCCATGTTTCTGTGAACATCACTGCATTTCTCTGTACACCGGGGCACAAATCTTCGTGCATGCAGTATTTCTTCAGTCGACAAAGATACTTCCATGCAGGATCGTACTGAGAATCAGATTTAGAGTCCATTAATGAAGTTTATAAAGCACTTTGGAGACGCTTCTGGATGAAGAGCTTTTCTAAATGTCACTCCAGTAGTTTATTTGTAGAATTGAAGGTTGCTTCTGCTTGTCCTTCATGGCAGGGGAGTTAGGCTAGATGACTTTTAAAGGTCCCTTTCACCTCAAATGATTCTATGACTTTGTTATGAATGCTGGGATCCCGCAGTGTTCAGGCACAATGCTTCCACCTGAGAGAGAAGCCCTGGCAAGGGATGGGGTGTGCTGGGAGCCAATCTGCTGCTTCATGGTTTGGAGCAGCACTCATCAGGGAGGGGGAATATTGGAGGAAGGGCACCAAGGGGCTCTAGGGCATGAAGCAAGGCTGGAACTCATCCAGATTCTGCTCAAAGGGGCTTTGTAAAGAAAAATGGAGCATTGCTCGGCTGTTAAAGCCAGCCTAGAGGCAAAATTCAGTCAGAGAGGAAAATGGGTTTAGTTGCCTCACCCTGATCCTCGCTTGCGTATGTTGTTACGACAGGATGGGATGGATGCAGATGGGCGGGATGGAGACAGCCCATGGGGTGGCGAGAGAACCTTTTGGGACACTGGGAGGGCATGGGCTCTGTTGTGCCCATCCATCCCAGGCTGATGTCATGCCACATGCTCCTGGATCAAAACCAGTATGATGAGGAGGGAAACAGTTGGCATGGAGGATCACAGCATTGGACGAAAACCATCTTTATAGGTCCTTTGTGCCTCTCATCCTGACAACATGCTTCCTCCTCGTGGTGTTCCCCAGGGAGGAGGCTCTGTTCCCAAGCAGGGCAGGAATGTCTGACACAGCAGAGCCGTGGCCCTGCAAGCTGCCTCCCTGCAGCAGCTGTGGCGTGGGTATCCCTGGGGGCAACACCGCCATGCAATGCCGCTCCAGCACAGGGGTACTGCACCCATAGGGACGGCAGCTAAAGCGTGTCTCCTTCCTCTGCCAACCCAAAACTGGCTCTGCAGGGGACCCATTTAAGGCCACTCCTACAGAGGCTGATGAATTCCGCAGAAGGAAACAGAGTGAAAATGATTTCATTCGTTTTCCCTTTGATATTTTTTTTTCCCTCCCCATCTTCAAAGGCAGGAAGGGAAAATGTTGCACGGCACACATATGTGCTGCTCCACCGGGTGTGTGAGCTGGTGGGAGCGCAGCCCCAAGCCAAGGCGGGCCCACAGCCACACAAACACTCCTTGTCCCCCGAGAATGGGGGTCTTGTTACTGCTTTATGCATGGAGGCAGGGAGGAAGCAGAGCAGGGCAGCATCCTGGACCCATATCTCGTGATTTGATTTGCACATCAGGCATAGAGCCTTAGGAGAAGAGCCTGCAGCAAGTCTCAGCTACCGGCCCCCCAGCCTGGGGGAGGAAAGGGAGGGGAGAGAAGAGAAGAAGGGAGGAGAGAGGGGAGAGGAGAGGAGAGGAGAGGAGAGGAGAGGAGAGGAGAGGAGAGGAGAGGAGAGGAGAGGAGAGGCTTTTTTGCTGTTTTGATGACTTGTTACTGTTAAAGTTCTGAAGTTAACTGGGATCCATCACATGAGCTGCTTGGAAATGGAGCAAGGGCTGATTTACAGTGTCTCAAAGCTCCGGGGCATCTGACACGAGGGATCTAATTTAAGCCCATTAAATAGAAATTATCTTTCTCAGCAATGTGTTACAGGCCTGCTGAGGAGAGCCCAGCCTTTCAAGACAACGAATTTCAGCTCAGAAAAAAAAAAAAAAAAAAAAAGGAAAAAGTGCCTCCTCAACCATGAGAGCCAGTTTGGCAATTGCATGTAGTAATTAGTTTAATTCAAATACCCAGAGGGGAAAAAAAATAATTGCAAAACCTGCCCAGAAAGTTTGGTGGTTGTGGGATTGTTCCCATTGGCAAAGGGTCAGGCTGAGGTCCCACCCATCGCTGTTCCCATGTGCAAGAGGAGCTGGGCAGCTCTTCAGGGAGACTTCCCTCTCCGTATGTCACACCTATGCCCTCAGTTTGGGCTCACTGCACAAGTATTTTAAGCATTTTTGAAAGAAGTGCAACAGTTCCAGGCCAGTGTGACACCAACCCATGTCTGCCTGTCCTCCCTCCAAGCTGGGATCATTTCTGCATGGTCACCATATAGATAGCACACTGGGATCCATGCCTTGCAAGCAGGACAGCTTCTCTCCTCTCCTGAATGTCACTGGTGGTGATTCAAGTCATGTATTTGTGGAAAAATGATGCCAGTAGCTCAGTATTGGTACTAAGAATAATGACTGAGAACACCATTTCTGAGCAGGACCTAAGTTCCTTGCCCATACTTAGTGTGGGCTAATTGAGTTCTAGCCTGCATGGTGAGAAGCCTAAGGTTGTGGCTGCATCCCGTGTGACATCCTGGTGGAAAAACCTGCCCTTGCCCCAGTGGAGGTGCTTCCCTTCCTCCTGTTCACCATGTAAATGCATGCTCTGCTGGAAGGAGAACCGGCCGAGCCAGGTGAAAGGCTCCCAGTGCCATCCAAATGGAAACATCCATTCCATTTGCAAGGCTGTGGGGGTGAATCTCACGGCAGCTCAGTCTCTACTTCTGCTTTTAGTTAGCTATTCTTAAAGATGTAGTTAGCCCTTTCTAGCTCCTGATGCACTCCTAAGAGCATACAGAGCAATACATAGAGAATACATAGCAATAACTGCTTGGGTGGGCTGGGACCCCTCAGGTCCCTACAGCTGCTAATTATGATATTGAAAAGAATTGCATGCTTTGCTTTGGAAGTCTTCAGAGTGTCCCTAGAAGCTGCCCTCATCCCATCCCACCCTACCCCATCCCATCCCATCAGGTTCAGGAACATCTCCCAGTGCCAAAGGTTCCCACTGATGGTTTGAGGCTGTTTCCTACCCCAGCAGAGGGAGGCTAGTAACCCTCATCCTGACATCTCTGCTGTCTTTCCTAGGGGCCATGCTGGGGATCTGTGCCTCTGTCCAGCCCTTGACGAGGACAGTGGGGCCAACCCTCGGTGTCATTCTGTACAAGCAGTTTGGAGTCTCCTCCTTTGGCTACTTGCAGCTCATTGTCAATGTCGGTTTGTTTGTTTATCTCTTAAAGAGCAAAAGCCCACTGAGAGAGACAAAAAGCCACTAATTCACGAAAGCTGCCTCTTCTCTTTTTTCCACAGAAATAAAGAAAGGAACGTTGTTGTATGTTCTCTGGCATTCTTGTGCTGGAGGCACAATCCCACACTGAGCCCCTTCTGCTCTCACTGCAAGCTGCTCATAACTAAATACCTTGCAGCTGCCTCCAGTTTCATGCAAGAACTAACTGATAGTGGCAGCAGGAAAGTTACCCAAAGGGAGTTACCAAGTTTGAAGCATTTGCAGAGAGCACTTTTTGCAGCCCTGCCTGTCAATGGAGCTCAGCACTGCCGGATGCTCTTGAGCATACAGGTTGGTTAATAGGCATTGAACCTCACAAGACAAAACTTCAGCAGGTTGTGTCCCCCTTTCCAAAAGAGCACAGCTTCTTGGACTGCAGGAAAAGAAGCACCTCACTCATTCCCAGGCTCTTTATCTAGAGCTGGGGACAGGTACCAGCAGGCAGAACACGGTATGGTTGCAGGGAGCTTTTGTGCCACCTTTAGCTGCCATTACTCAACTACACAAGAAAACATCCCAGAAAAACCCTGATCGGGCACGTGGAAGTCTCCTGTATTCCCTCCCTCAGTGCATTTTTGCTCCATGCTCTCCCCTGCAGACGGATTACCGGGGGCTTCTTCACCCCACAGCCCCGTCCAGGCCATTGCTGCCTTACAGCCCCCGCACCACAAACAGCACCCACAAAGTCACAGCACCACCACGTGTAGTAATAAAAAGTGAACATTTCAAGTAATTTATTTGGAATGGACATATTAATGCAAAAGCAATATTAAGACCGATAACTGCTGAAAGACATTCATCAAAATAAATACAAATATAGATACTACAAATAATTTAAATTGTGTCAAACACCACCAGTCAGTGTTGAATCTTCCTTGCGTCTCATAAATAGAGGAGAACCGTTCGCGAAGCCGCGCCACCCAAAGCACGTGGGCGCTTCGCTGGAAGTCCCGTATGAAAGTCTTTGGTTTTTTCTTTTTCAAAATGCATCTCAGGCAAAGCTCAGGGCTCTTTGCTCAGCAGCCTCCACAGGCCTGGAGAAAACCAAGCTGCTCCCAGCTATCTTCCGCGCTTTCCTTCATTGGTACCCTGTCCCTTTTCAGTCCAAGACACTTGCTCTGGTTTACCATCCAGCAGTACGCTCTGAAGATAGCAAGAGGAAGCAGGTTAGTGAAATGAAAGGGCAGGGGAAAAATTAAAATAAAGGGCTTTGAATGGAGAGGAAGCACTCAGCACTCATCGCGACATTTGCGGCGTCTTTATAGGGCGTTCGGCAAGGAAAGCTCTGCTGAGTGCCATTTCCTACCCCGATAACTCTCCGCCACAGACACGTGTCTGCCTATCGCTCAGCATTCCCAGCACTGTGCCCCTCTCCCACCCGGAATTCCCAGCACGGGGTTTGGGAAGGGTGAGTGAGCCCCAGGAGTCGGGCACAAGAGCCGCAGGCACAGCACACGCTGCGCTCAGGGTGCGGCACCCGGCTCTGTGCTGGGAAACACGAGGAGTGGCCGTGGGAGCCCCATTGCCTTGCTGTGGCACCCAGAGCACGGTGTGTAGGGGATACATAGGTAAGGTTTGGTGTGCGGGGGATAGAGGTATCTCTGTGGGTTTGTTAAGGGTGGGAGGAATGGGGGTGTGAGCTCACCTGGGGGCTCAGGGCGCCCGGGCCAGCCGCCGCTCCTGGGTGCCCGCTGCCTGCTCCATCTCCTGGCGGCTCTTGAAGTCCTGGATGGCCCTCTTGTTCTGGAAGTCGATGAGAGCCATGGTGATGGAGGCGTTCCAGCAGCTCTGGTCCGGGCACCGAAAGTCAATCTCCTTGCGGTCTTTGGTGACGATGGTGAAGTAGATGTATTTGCCCGTGCGCTCCACGCAGTCCACCTTGAGGATGGAGCCGAAGCCCAGCTCCTTGCCCTTGGCCCGCTTGTGCCCGTCGGGGAAAAGGCTGAGGCTGTCCTTGGTGAGCACTACCAGCTTCTTCTTCCACAGCTGGAAAAGGCTGTCGCTCCGCTTTTCTAGCTCGCCCTCGCGGATCACCTCGGCTTGCATCTTCATCCTCCCTCCCTCGTTCCTTCCCTCGTCCCTTCCTTCCGTCCTTCCCTCGCTCCCTCCCGGCTCCAGCTCCACGGGCTGCGCTGCTCCCACTGCGTCTCGAGCGGCAATGACTGAGCCCGGCCGCGCCGGGACCAATTTATTGCAATGATTCAGCGCCGGGCGCCTTCCGGTGCCTCCCCCGGGAGTCCGCCCGCCGCCCCCTCGCCGCTCCGCCTCCCGCCCGCCCCCGGCCGCGGTGTGCTCCGCTCCGCCCCGCCGGGATGGGACCCACTGGGAGCGGAGCCCGATCTGTAATGCTGAGTGGGACGTCAGCCTCGCGGTACCCTCGTGTCTGTGTCCCCGTTTTGTTTCCGTGGTGGGGATGGGGTGGCTATGATGGACATCACCTTGCAGCTCGTCTCTTCTGCGAAGCGTGCTCAGCCCCAGTGCCATCTCCGCCCCTCCCCACAAGCCCCACAGACGCCTGGTTTGGACCCCAGCGTCTAATTTGGGTCCTGGCCAACGCGTTCACTTCAGCTCCACATCAATGCAGCATCGCCACGAAGCCTTCCCCCACATTGTCCTTGGGGTACCCCACCTACGCAGCTCTGCAGCAGCATTGCCCACCCTTATTGTTTTCACTGTCCCCTACAGTCTCTGCATTTACCCCATTTTCTTCCTCTTGACCCACTCCTTTCCAGGTTCAGTTCCATCGTTTCCTAGGAGCTGACCATTGTCCACTGCCATGGGGCCATTGGGGAAAGCCGGAGCATCAGGAGGTTACACCCAGCAGCACTGACATCCCTACCTCTGTGCCCCACTGATTTTGCCACTCTTTACAACACTGGTTTCCCTGATCCAGCACGATAGCCAACAGCAGCAATTTATCTAACTTCAGCAAGATTTAGCTTTTCCTTGCCAAGGGAATGGTCCAGATGGACACTATATCTGGACAAATACTCTGGCCACTGAAATGTCAAAATTCCTGCCCAAGAGATTTCATAAGAATAAGGGATCTGAAGCAGGTAGGACCAGAGATAGAGCCTAAGCTGAGTTTTCATTATTATTACTATTATTATTATATTATTATTCTAAAAAGGACTCCAAAATGCAGCAGGGAAGGGTCTTTGTGCACAGGAAATGGGACACCACTTCAAACAGAGCAATCTGGCAGGAAAAAAGGAGAGCTACAAGAAACAGCTGCAGGAAGTCCCCCAGTCTGGAAAGCTACAGGACGCAGCATGTCTGTGCACACCTTGCTTCAAATGGTCCAGTGCAAAGCAAAATCTGCTTTTCAGTGAGGCTCACACCTGCAGGTGGAGGTCAGAAGCCCCCTTTGGGGTTTGTCTTCCTGCTTTGGCTTTCATCAGGGTGATCTGCACCGAGCCATGAGCAGCACAGAACCTTTGTTGTCACAGCCATCAGCGTGTCTTAGCATGGGGGGAAAAAAGAATGCTCAAAGAGTAGATAAAAAATGGGTTCTTGCAGCACCAGTCCTGGTTTTCATTGCATGTCCACTGTAAGAATTCTCTTCCTTTCTACATACATTGGGCTTGCTACACGGATAACCACAGAAAAGGAAAGCCCGGTGCGTTAACACACCATAATTCGCTGTCATTTGCATTGTGGCCATGCAAAACTTGCACAGAAATGGTCTTAAAGCAAAGCAGTGGTGACACCAACTGCCCTCAAACCAGGCAGCTCAGTTTAGAAAAAGGAGAAAAGTGTCTGCATTGCCTTTCAAATAATATGAGTTAATGAATCGGGTGAGGAATTGACAAGGAGTTAACAGCTCTTGGCACCAGAATCTGGGACAAGTACGATGTTTCCAAGCACAGTTTGACTACACGTGGGTGTCCCTTCCTAGAATAAAACAGAACTGAGGCAGCATCCACATCCATCTCCCACCTGCAGAGCCCAGCAGGGTGCTGCCACCTCCCTTTGCAGTATCCCTCTCCCAACCCACGAGAAACCCTGTTGCTATGTGTCGTGGTGCAGTGCATGCTCCACAACCGGGCTTTTGCTCTTCATTTGAGTTTTTTGGGTTTGTGTATCCTCCCGATAGCAGAAGTGGGTTGCCTTAGTTACACAAGTCATGGTGACAGAACAGCAGCTACATGGGCGGCTCCGGGAAGAATGCTGCAATCAGGGCTCACACCAAGAAAAATGAAAAAAATATATATGTTTTTGAATGAGGAGATGGTGATTTATCTCCTCTGCAGCTCTCCCCACACACCCTGCAATGGGGTCTCCAGCGGGTGGTAGTGATGCATTCAGCCCAGCCCAGCCCAGCATCTCTCCCTGGAGATGCGGGGCTTCCACCAGACACATCACCCCTTGCTCACACCCTGCATGCTATCAGCATTTCCACTGCTGTAATGTTATTTTTCCCGTTGCTATTTAGCTGCTGTGATCCTAGCAATGTGTGCAGCCCCTGTGATGGGTCTGTGCTGGGCAAGGACCACAGATTCAGCCAACATTACCCCTCCGCAGCAGGAAGTGGAGAATTGAGGCCATATGACTTTTTTTTTTTTTTTGTCATAATGATTTCCTTTCCTTTAAACCTGACATCTGTAGGAGAAGAAAAGCCTGCTTACAGGCTTGAGGTTGTAATCCTGCCAGCTGAAGTCGATTAGTAATGGGGAAACATACGCTCTCGCCTCATAAACTGCTGCCTTCCGAGTTTCATTGTTTGTGTCAGAGGGCGGCTGTCCCCACAGGCACCCATGGCAATAGATTAGTGAGCATTGGGTCCCTTGAAATCCTGGATTAAAAAGAGCAACAAACAGAATAGCTGCAAACTGGCAGTGTGGAACTGGAGAAACAGAAGTGAGGAACGGCATTTTGTCATGCTTTCACATATATTTTTCCTTTTTTTTTTCCTTTTCGTTTCTTTCACATTTTCATAATCTTTTATACATATATGTATGTGTGTATATAACGTAATGTGAGTATTCCTCAGGAACACTGTGAAATTTAGGGTTATGATTTGTTATCATCCTCCACCCTCACAAACTTGCTGGTCCAAGCAGTGCCATCAGCTCCCAGCCTGTGACCCGGGCACAGCAGCTCAGCTCTCAGGGCAGAGCCGGGCAGGGCAGGGGCAGATGCTTTTGTCCTGGGGCACCTCACTTGGGAAGGTCTCAACAAGACAGATGGAGGCCACCAAGGCTGTTTGTTTAATGATTACATAAAATGAAATGCAGCGGGGCTGGAGCTTTTCAGCTGGTTTGGGGCTAACTTAAACAAGGGCAGCAGCGGAAGCATCTTTCCTCAATCTGCGAGAGTTCTTCATGCCGTACGCAAGCCATGTATTAATCAGCAATATCACGTAGCCTCAGTTGCTCAATTTACTAATATTTATCTGACTAAGACTCCTTTTTCCAAAGCAGCTTGAACATGTTTCATCCCACTGACTCAGTGTGTTGCCGCTGTGTGCTGTAAACTGCTGCACACAGTCATGAAAGCATCATGAGGGGCCAGGGGCAGAAGGAGTCATCTCCAGGAAGCCGGTCCTTCACCAGGCTCCCAGTGCTGCAGCCATACAAGGGCAGGAGCACTGAACTCACACGGGCACGTTGGGTCAGTACAGCAGTTACAGATGTGCACGTGTGTTTGCTTCTGCCCAGAAGTTGTATCCCCATCTGTGACACACTGGGTAACTAGTGATAGGATGAGGGGTCATGGCCTCAAGTTGCGTCGGGGGAGATTCAGGTTGGATATTAAGGAAAGTTTCATCTCAGAAAGGTGACTGCCCAGAGGTGGAGTCACCGTCCCTGGAGCTGTTCAAGAACAATGGAGATGTGGCACTGAGGGATGTGGCTCAGTGGGCATGGTGGGGATGGGTTGGGGGTTGGACTTGATGTTCTTAGTGGTCTTTTCCAACCTGAATGATTATATGATTCTGTGACCCTGTGTAGAGCACATTCTGCACGCCTGTACATCATGCTGGTGTTTAGTCTGAGTACAAAAGCAACAAATAAAAAAGAGGCTCACGTTTCCTGGTTCTTGAGCACTGGTTGTATTGCATGGATCCCACCATACAGTGCTCATATCCATGGGTCTTATCCCATGTGGGACCTGAATACTTTCAGAATTTAACCTGTGCCAGTAGGTTAGCACACAGCCCTGGCTGCTGTGGGATGGGCTGTGAGCCTTCAATGAGAGTCAAAATGGTTGAGGATGAGGGAACACTGGTGGCTTGCCCTGAAATACACCACGTTTACTGGAGTGCTCTGGACATTTGGTCTCCCAGTGAGCCCAGAAGATGCTTTGGGCTACAACTCATGATTTTAACAAGACGGGACATTCCCAAACTTCTTCCTGGTAGTGTAAATATTTGGGCAATCTTCATTTTGCAGTAATGGTAATAAATGTCAGAGACCTCAGCCCTGATTGACGTTGATGTGCTCTCTGCACATTAAGTCTGCGGTGGTCCCACATGGTGCCAGTTAGTCTGCAGCTTCCCATGGTGCTGCCAGCTCACCTTTTTTACCCTGCTGTGCTGCAGTGATAATATTTACTGGAGATCATGAAGATCCAGGCCTTGCAGCAATACAGTGAATTGTAGGTCACTGCTCCAGGCACCCTGCCCCTTTTCTGCAGCCAGTAAGGTGGCTTTGAATCATCTTTGCCTTTTTTTATCTGTGTATAGAGATGCTTCTCGTAGGAAATCCTATGGGTGGCATCGGCCAACACCTGTGAGTGTCATTGGCTCTCTTAAGGCCATCCTCTGGCCATAATTTGGAAGGAGAGGCGTTGGGCTGACCGAGCTACACATCAGTGCTTCCGTATGTGTGAGCACATAAGCTGGGAGGAAAAGGACATCCCGTCAGAAATGACATAATTTGTTGTGCATTACAAAAGTTCATTCGCTGATGTAGAGACAACTGCAAACATGCCAAGCTCAATCACAGAATCAATCACAGAATGGCCAGGGTTGGAAGGAACCTCAAGGATCACGAATCTCCAACCCCCTTGCCACATGCAGGGCCACCAACCTCCCCATTTAATACTAGACCAGGCTGCCCAGGGTCCCATCCAATCTGTCCTTGAACACCTCTAGTTATGGAGCAATGGCCAAGCAGAGGTGCTGAAACAACCCCGAGTGTGTCCTGTTTCCTCGCAGGTCCCTGCTGTGCCACCCACAGCCCCCACCAACACGCTGAGGTCATATGGACATGACAAACATCACTGCAAACCTCATGGCGGAGATGAGGAAGGGTGAGACGTGGCTCCTGGGGCCGTTCAGCACAGCCAGCATTGACGGCTGTGTGCGAGTGGGACATCCTCACCGCCACCACGCGTCACGTCCCATTGCGGTTTGTGCCCCAAGTCCCCTCCCAGCTGTCCCGCTCATGGAATGAGAGTCTGCGCTCAGTGCATCATCCTGGCCGTGCTTTTCACTTTGCTCTGTTTTTTGGCTTTTTTCTACTTTTTTTTTTTAATCAGCAGTGAGTAAACTTTACGGGTCAACACTGAGATCAGTTGCCAGATTGCCTAACCAAAACATCAGCACATGCGAGGTGGGGGGAGGATGGTGAGGTCACGTTACTGCCAAGATTTGGGTAATTTCCCATCTCCAGCCAGGTTGAGGATTGATCCCAAACCAAACTCTCAAGCACATTGCTGCCAGCTCTCTCTCCTTCTCATATATTTATTTACATATGCTCTCTATGCATCAGCTTTAGTAGCTTCATGAAAATAATAGAATCACAGAATGGCTTGCGTTGGTAGGGACCTTAAAGCCCACCCAGTTCCAACCCCCTGCCATGAGCAGGGCTGTCCCCCACCAGATCAGGCTGCAACATCCAACCTGGCCTTCAGCACTTCCAGGGCTGGGGCACCAACAGCTTCCCTGAGCAACTTGAACCATGGGAGAAAAAGAAAAAGGAATATCAGTGATATGTACTTTCCCTGACTTTGTTTGATTTTCCCAAAGCTCACCTGCCCCAGCTGCGTAGCCTGCTGGCTTCCCACCACCCCAGCTAATAGCTCCTGATGGAGCTACCCTGTGAAAGCTGGATCTGTCTTTTCTTCCTGTCGGTTACTCAGATCCTCTCATGTTTGAACACCCGGCTCCACCTTGACAAATATTTGCAGGAGGTAGCTCGGGGCATGTCACAGCACCGGGTCTGGGGCTGTGCTGGGGGTGGGCTCAGCGCTGGGGGCTGCAAAAAGCAGTGGTGAGCTGTGATTACAGCATTGTGCTCTACACGGCCCTCATTTCACACAGCTGTGTCACGAGTGGGAAACTGTAGCCTGGGTGGGGTGGATGGGATGGGACCACCTGATCCAGAAAGTGACACCTTAGACCAGCTTTAAACACACAAACCGTGCAACGGCCTAAAAAACTCTTAATGCTGATCCTTTGAGTGCTTGGACTTACTGGGCCAAATGTCATAAAAGCCTAGCCATTAACCCCCAGTTACCAGCTTCCTTTAAAAGAGGTTTCCTTTCGGGCAGCACTCACAGAGTAGAACTGAGCTGGCATTACCCACCCTGCAGTGGGTTTAATCTGAGCTTTTCCAGAGCCGCTGTAACCAGAGGGGAGTTCCTGCAGTAGGAATAAAATGCTTGCAAATCCTTTGGCTTTAATATTCAACAATTAATTGAATTATTATGGTTATTAATTATGTTGTCAACATTATTAAGTCACTGTTGCTATTATTATTGAAGATTGTAAGTACTGAGCTCCTATTCAGATCAGAGAGCAATACCAACACGCCGGTCCCACTGGCTGCCGAGTCTCGGAGCTGGGAAGGAAACTCCGGGTGGAGAAAAAGGAGTTAAGGCTCTTGGCAGGCGTTGGGATGACTCAGGCATTCCTTCAGCTTTAATAGGGCAAGAGTCAAAGTCACAGAACTGGACGGATTTCCCATAATTGGACAACCTTCACCAGAAATGAACACTCAGGCTTGCATCAGCAGTGGCGAAGGCTGCGGCAGGGTGCGGGTGGCCATGTGGGACACGGAGCTAAAATGTCGTGGCTCTTGATGCAGTCATCAGCATGGGTAGGAACAGGGTGTGCTGGGCATGGACTGAGCCTAGGCACCCCTCCACAAACATGTGTGTTTGTTTGTCCTGCTTAGAGGTAGCCAGAAAGGAGTAAATGAGAGAGCAAGTCATTCATTCATCAGAAATAGTGCCAAACGAGGCTGAAGCTCCTGACACTAATCCCACCAGCCCAGGGCAGCAGGTTTCACAGCCAAAGTCTCAAGACCCTGAGCAGAGCTGCTTAGAGGCAGGAGGAGAAGTGGCAGCTTTCAGTGTGCCCATCTCCTTCCTTCCCCCTTTTTTCCCCACCTGCCACTGCCAGAATGGCTCAGTCCCTAATCCTGGCCTTCCCTTCTTAACGAGCATCACCTCCCACGCATGATAATGGCCACAGGTGCTTGGTGGAGCTCTGCCATCCAGGATTCATTTAACCACCCATCAATTAGCACCATGCGGCTCGTGGCTCTGCCAGCAATCAGCAGCAAGGGCTGTGCTTCCTCAATGCCAAGAGAAACCTGGTGTCCCACAGGGCTGTGGCAAGACAGGTTGGTCTCAGCACGGTGTCCCTGGCACTGGGTGTTGGGGTCTGGCCACCCTGTGAGCACATTTCTTTGCAGAGTGACAAGCCCTGAGCCCAGCCCTGCCTGCACACCCGTAGCTGATAAGAGGAGCCTGTCCCTTATCTGTGGTGACTCAGCTGCTTCTCCTTCACTCACCCTCCAGAGGCTTGGAAGGGTCACACCTACTGCCAGAAATCCCCTTTCTTCAGGGACTTCAACCTTCGCTTGCCACTTATTTCCACTCACTGCTTCTCCTTCCTCCGGGACTTTTTGCTACAGCCCCCACATAGCCTCCTCAATTAGCAATTATGTCACAATTATTCAGGAAAAGGTAATCCTCTCCAGCAGATCCCTACACTGGATATTTTGTTGCCATGGAGGAGAAACGCCTTCCCACGCAATGTGTGCCCACTGAGTCACTGCAGCCACACCGTGGTGGCACCACCGAGGGAGGAGGTTGTTTTATCCCAAGAAAAGGTCCCTTTATTTAGCAGCACCTTCACCCTCCACGTGACTTCCTGTGATGGGAGCACTCCTAGGCCATGTCTTCTCCCAGAAACACTTTATTTTTGTGAACACACGCAGGGGGCACCACCGCAGGAGCCTGGGGCCTGTCACATCATTGGGGTGCCACAGGGGGTGAGAACATTGGGTATCCCAAGAGGGGCACCAGGATGAGGATGCAGATGGCTGTTTCCTTGGATGATGCCAAGGAGATCGGCAAGCTGTGGGGTACAGGATGCCAAATCCATTGGCCCATCCACCATAGCAAATTGAGGGTGAGCACTGAGGCTGCAATCAATAGGAAATGGGGGTATGGGGCTGATGAGCTTTGTGGGAGGCAGTGACATGCGGAGAGGAAAGTCAGAGAGCTTTTATCTGCCCCACCCCTCTGAGGGTGGAGGCTGCTGGATCTGGCCCAGCTCTCGCACCTTGCTTCCGTTCAGGCTTTGTTTGAAAAAAAAAAAAAAAAAGAGCAGGTTTCACTTCTTGGCCCAAGGAAGCACTCTGGCCCATCGGGCACGAAGCTGGGCAAGCAGCACAGTGTGACTCAGCCCTCCCAAGTGCAGCCTGCGATGTGGCCCAGCTATATTTGCCAAGCAACTGAATCAATCATTGTACAGAAAGTGCAGAGAGACCTTGGACCTCGCTTCCATTCCTTTTTACTCCCCTCCCTTTCCCTCCTCCCATTTTATTTTTCACTTTCCCATGCGTGACCATCCCCCAGCTCCATGTTGGGGAACCACCAGCCTGGAAATCACCTGTAGAGAGAATACGTGCAAGAAAAACCCCAAAATCAAGGCGAGGGGCTACGCTTGGCCTTGGGGTTGTGCAGCTGCATGAGGCAGCTCCAGTCGTAGGAAGAAGAGACCTGGGTTGCAAGGCCAGGGGAGGGAGGGCTGCAGGGCTCAGGGCTGCAGGAGGCCATAAGGCCTTCATGCCTCTCACTGGGGCACAAGACCTCTGATGGCATGGTGTGGGGCAGAGAGAGATGCGTGGGCATCACGGGAGCCTGTTGCTGCGGGCCTGCAGCTCCTCCCCTAGCAGCAGCCAGCCCGCGTTTCACCCAGATGTTTCTGGGCTGTGCCGTGTGTGGGGAGGCATCGGTTTGGCTCTGCAGGGATTTTTGGTTGGGTTTTTTGTTGTTTTTTTTTTCCCTCAGCCGTTCGCTGCCCCTTTGATGTTCTGCCTCCGACACCACAGCTCGCCCGGGGCGCCAGGGCTGGATCCGAAAGGCCCGGTGGCACGTCCAGAGGCAGCCAGCTCCCATCCGCTCCCCCCGCACCCCCTGAGCAGGGCTGGGTGGAGCCCCCCAACACCCACCACACTCCCTGGCATCGCCGCGGGGTCACGCTCGCAGGGGGCCGGCCCCCCTCCCCACCCCACCGCCCCCTTTAATTAAAAATTGAAATCACGTAATTACCTCTTCATTAAAGCCAATTAAAGCTGGCTGACGAGGGAGGTAGGCGGCACATTTTGCAACTCACCGCGGAGATGAGACAGTGCGCAGCGCAATTACGGCGTCTGTTTGCTTCTCCTCAACCCCACGGCTTCAATGGGGCTCGCTTTGAAAGCAGCTCCGGGTGGTCGAGGAGAAAGGCCGGGCGGCCTCTCCTCCTCATCATCATCTATGTGCTCCTCCTGTCCCTGCAGATGCAGGAGGGATGCTCCAAAGCCACGGCCAGCAAAGCCCAAGCAGCGATCCTCACCCTGCTCAGTGTTAGGAATGGCGCCTTGCTGAGCCATCCATCTCAGTCCCCAAAGAAGTGGGGCAGCTCTGCAGAGGGGCCTCCTCCAGAGCCCACAGCAGGAGGTGACGCAGTGCCCCAGCCCTGTCCTCTGCCTCCACCACCCCTTTTGCTCAGGCAAGACCTCCCATCCCTCCCGCAGAGCCCCATCACTTCGCAGCCCACTGAGCTCCACCAATCTTGCAGCTTTAGATGCAGCCGAAACCCCAGTGCCATGCTTTGCCCTCCTACTGCCAGCTGTGAAATGCCTGAGAAAGCAGCCCTCGTTCACACTTAGTTGCACACACTGCACTTGTCCACATTTTGACCTGAACTGTGCTTATTAACCTTTTTTTGTATGTGTGTATGATAATAGTCTGGCATCCTTTGTAGGCGATCTTTCTTTCAGAGATCTCCTTTTTGATCTTTTCATAGGCTAAGCAACAATTCATCCTATATAAATCTGGGATTGAAAGGACGTAATTTGTTTTTCCTTGCTTTTTTGAAGCGGTGAGAGATGAAACAACTCAGGGGAATGTCAGCAGTGGTTATATCTTAATTGGTTTTTCTCTGCATCAAAATGCCTTGAACTATTCACTCGTGCGCAGCAGCGCCGTGCGACCTTTCTGCCTCTCCCAACAAGTTATAGCCCATCTCCCACTTGAGGTGTTTTCACTGTTCGTGGCACTGACACTAATTCTGCACCCACCCCTCCTCTTTCTGTCCAGGCATATCAAAGACTTTCAAATGCGCCTTAAGCCAGGAGCGTGAAAAGGAAGAAGGAAGACTACATAATTGGGTGAAATTAAAAAAAAAAAAAGGAGAGGGAGGGGAGAACATCTTGCAGCCTTTCCCTCAGCCCACACGCTGGTTTTCCCCGACGCAGCGGCTGCACGCTGGTGGATGGGTGCACGTGGCCAACTTGTGCTCCTGCTCTCCTGACCTCA